TCTGAAAGTTGATCAAAATGTTATATTTTCGAAAGCTTTTCGCAATCGCATCAATCGTTTTGGCAATTTCAACATTGTCAAAATCGAGTGGAACTGAAGAGTAAGTATTTGAGATAAAAGAAGTGTCTATGCTGCTAAAAAGCTATACGTTTCATAGTACAAATGACTTTATTGATTTCAAAATCTGAATGTTTCAGAACCTCTGGTTATAGTTCGTCTAACACCAATGAAGTGGATACTTTGGCAATGCAACTTGAACATTTGTAAGTTGACACATTTAGTTCATACACATTTCACCAAATTATATTAATTATACAAATTATCCATAATTAAGGAATAATCTGGGAGGGTAAGTATTTGGGATAAAAGAAGTTGCTATGCTGCTAAAAAGCTACATGTTTCATAGTACAAATGACTTTATTGATTTCAAAATCTGAATGTTTCAGACCAAGTACCTCTGGTTCTAATTCGTCTAACACCAATGAAGTGGATAATTTGGCAACGCAATTTGAACTTATGTAAGTTGACACATATAATTCATACACATTTCACAAAATTATATTAATTATACAAATTATCCATAATTAAGGAATAATCTGCAAGAGTAAGTATTTTGTACATCGCTTTAATCTGAATGGTATTTCTGTGTGCATGTTCCCATCACATTATTGATGAGTAGTTTTTTGTAACTAAAAAAACGAATATCTAAAATGTTTTTTTTTTCTTCAAATAAATAGGATGCAAGAAGTGGATGATGATATGTAAGATCTTTTATTTGAATATATCATTATATTCAATGATCTTTAAAATATTTGAATGATTTTTTAATTATATCTAACAACTCTGTAGACGCAATATCCAAAATGCTCTTATAAATGGGTATTTGAATGCAAACGAAGAAGAAAGGAAGCGATGCATTAAACAAGTGCAGAGGACGTGGAAGTAAGTAGTACCAAGTATGCTTTCAATCAAAACTCTTAACTGAAACTAACGAAATTCTTCCATATACAGAATATTTCCTAAAGGTTTTAGGAGGCAACTTGAGTCTACTATGAACTTAGATAGAAATGGAGTACCGAAGAAGAAGAAGAAGAAGTAAAAGGTTATTGAAATTGACGAATCGTGACGAATCGAAAT